TGTGTGTGTGTGTGTGTGTGTGTGTGTGTGTGTGTGTGTGTGTGTGCGTGCGCGTGTGTCAGTTCTAAAAAGTCTTACTTTGCACTAATGTCGTTTTTGAATTCCTTTGTAATAATGAGACGACTGAGTTTTAATCTATGTTTTTCAGTAAAAGTGCCTGAGTCGAAGGCCTCTCTGATCCCTGCACTGTTAACTGCGTCGTCATCAATATATTCATTGACTGACTGAAATAAAATACAAATTGTTAGGTAGGTTTGAGCACTTTTCTGGGGTAAATAATCTCATACATTTTTTAAGTTTCTTTTGCACTGGACGACGGGAGTTTGCTCTTCAGATGTTTTTTCAATATCGATAATAATAATATCTGCAGAGTTTGCCTGCTGTTGTGATGTCGATGGTATTATTAAATCGAGATCTTTGATTTCGATAGGCAATTCCAATGTTGCGTGTCGTTCAAAAAGATCTTTCGCATCAGGCATGCATATTTCATTTCCCATCACCAGGTTCGTTGGCAAAGATTCTATGTCGGTACTAGTATTTATAGCAATCTGTAATAAATTAAGTATCAGAATCTATGTGGATATGAACCATCATCATAAAATACAATATACAATAGAACTAACATGCATAAAATGAAAAGTATTTATACTTTGCTGGGAAAATTAGTACATGCTAGATGCTTTATCGTCATGAAACCTCTAATATGAGCATGTGTAGGTAATATACAATACAGAGGATTAAAGGAATAGTATAGTGTTAAAATAGAAGTTCATGCAGGCTTAATACTCTCTGTCACTATTGGATATAAAAATGTAGGAGCATAAATTTTCAGTAATACCGCGTTTTTATTTCTGGATTGCCACTCTTGTAACTTTGACCAAAACTTTATTCTAGGGCCAGCTTTGGAGATTAATGAAACTACATCTTCATGAGTCATCACCTTCATCGCATCCATATTAACCTCATTCTCTGTCAGAAATTATTTAATAAGTAAGAAGATACAAGCAATAAGGTATAAGATTTAAACAGTTTACAATAATATTTTTTATGAAATCTTATCACTTACAAGTACCTGTGATTTCTTGATAAATGTAAAAAAAAGAAGTGTAGCATTACATGTGTTATCTAATAAGAAGAGGACTAAAGTGTACACACGGATTTCGTCCAATTATGTTAACTTTAAATTAAATATGTAACTTCAAATACACTTCTCACAAAAATTAAAGGAACACTAAATTTATCTTTAAAAATAGGTAAAATTCAAACAGCTGTAACTTTGTTAAAAATAAACAATTTAAATTTAAAAAAAGGATTTTAAAGCTTAAAATCTCTACTTTCAAAACGTTACTATTGGTTTTTAGTTTCTGTGAGTTTGATAATTTTTACATATAAAAAACTACGAGCTGGACAAAATAGAAAATTTTTCTCTTATTTTGTGGTATCCACGATAACTTAATAACAAAAAATCGTAGAAACAGTTTTAAAAAAAGATTTTGCAAGAAAAATTTCAAGCTTTCACGTTAAGAAGTCGAAAATTTTCACAGATTTTTTTTTGCACGTGACAGGCCTACAAAGTGAGAGAAAAATTTTCTATTTTGTCCAACTCGTAGTTTTTTATATGTAAAAATTATCAAATTTACAGAAACTAAAAGATAATGGTAACCTTTCAAAAATAGAGATTTCAAGCTTCAAAATCCTTTTTTTTAATTTAAATTTTGTTTATTTTTAACAAAGTTACAGTTGCTTAAATTTTGCCTATTTTTAAAGATAAATTTAGTGTTTCTTTAATTTTTGTGAGAAGTGTAGTACAGTCATGGACAAGTGGCAACAATAATAAGCCAAATATACAATGTGCTCTTTGCTTCTTGTTTTGTGTTCTAAACATCTTTGCGATTATCTTTGTCGTCCAAGATAAAAATTGACCAACTTTAGAAGAGACAAGAAACATCACGTTACGCAACGGAATTGCGAAATACGAGATAATCGCAAAGAAGTTAAGAGCAGAAAACAGGAAGCAAAGAGCACATTGTAGATTTAGCTAGTGCAAGGATGCGAACGCAGACGTTGGCTGGATAAGTCTATTATATAGGTTATTATGTGCGCCATGCACGGAAAAAATAAATGGAAATTTCACACGATGCAGACAATTCACGCTTTGCAAAACTTGATAATTAAAAATCTAATTTAATAGTATAAATGCAACAGAACTTACCTTCAAATATTGAGACAAATTTCTCAAATCCCCAATTTTTCAATAAATCCGCCACACTTTCTTCCATCATTGCACTGCGACGACGGTGAAGACGGTGACGATGACGATGACGACGACGAAGATTCGCGCGGTCGATGCACTTGTGTAAAAAGTCTTCGATTACGGCGAAGCAACCGGCGATCGCGGGACAGTGATCACGACGATGATGATGACGGTGACGATGACGGCGCGCTGGAGAACGTCGCATGCTCATAATTCACCTCAGCGCGATCCGCGGCTATCAAGCCACGACTTCCCCTATTTCTTCCCTCGCGGCCTCGTCCGTCCTTTCGCGGTCGGGACGGCGGCGTACGTATGTGGCGCGTATTCGTGTCCAATATTTATGAAGTCGACCGCCGAGCGCGCGGAAAAAGTCGACGAACCCCTCGGGGCTCGCGAGCGTCGCCGGAATCCGGGACGTAGATTTTCCGCTGGCCGCCGCGTGCTGAAGATTAGGTTAGGTTGATGAAGGACTTCGCGGGTCCGTCGGCGATTCCCGCCGCGCTCCCGTTCTCCAAGATACCTCACACACTGATACCGCGAACACGCGGGACACGACCGAGAAACTCACTGCCGAAGGGTTTACTGCAACAGTACAGCAATATCAATTCGAAGCCATTGTGCAGAGCGAGGAAATTTCGGCGGGAAGGGGGATCTCAGCGGCGCGGGGATTCCCTGGCCCTGTACCCCCGCGCAAGCACCATGGCTTCGAATTAGCATTACTATACTACTTACCGCTCGCGTTTCACCGCGACCGATACCCGCACACGACGTCGATGAGAAAAATCGTCAACGACGACGCAACGACATCCGTACGTTAGCACGTTCAGTCTTCGACTGCAGTGCAGCCATGCTTTTTAATTCACCAAGAACTTGGTAAAACTAGCTACGGTCATTGGTTGTGAGAACTAATTTCTGGGTGATCAATCGCAATACAGTTTTTTGGTTACTTCAACCAATTGCGTTGGTTATAAGCACCAATAGTTCCAACCAAATTTGAATTGTCAAACTAACTAAGTGTACATGGGTACGGCAACCAAGTCAATGGTTGTAGTTACCAATATATACGTAACCAAGAAAAACTTGGTAAATTCAACCAAGCCTTTTTTTCCGTGCGAGGCGAACGAGATAGGCGAATGGATACACGTCGATCGACTTCACTCGAACTTGTGTTAAAGTTCCACTGAGGTACGAGGAGGGTTGTGCGAAAGCCTTCTCTCCCCGTTTTAGATTGATCACGCGTCCATCCGCTGAAACTATTTTTTTGCTCGCATCGCTATTCTCTCGCTCGCGCGGAAACGCACGCTGTTGGCGCATGGATCTAGCGTGTCGTTTGATTTCTCATTCAAAGTTTCGTTTGAACTTCAAACACTTATTATCTTGGAGATAATAAAAATCACATGATTACTTTCATTCTATTAAATAAGCCGAGATGAAGTTCATATTATCGATAAACGCATAATTATCTCTCGTATTTATATTCTGTATATCTCATGTTTAACATCAAATGTGCTTTAATTCTGAGTTCTATTTATCTAATCTGCAGATCACGTTTGCAATATTTTATCGTCTAGTCGCCCAGGTATTATCTCTTGATTTTATCAAGCTGTCACAACTTGATATTAACGAATGTCGAATGTCGACGAAACATTACTTTTTAATGTCTCGTTGAAAATAGAAATTGCCGCAAAATAGAAGTAGTCATTGAAACCAAAGTACAGTATGTAAGCTGCTATATATATTTACTAGCAAGCAAACACTATCTTTTTCTCGAGGAAAGTTTATAAAAATTAAGAAAATTACATAGTTATATTTAGGACTAAACGCATAGCTCTAATGCAGAAGCTTTTCATTTTGTGAAAACTTCAAAGCGGAAAGTGATGATGTGCGTTTTCGGTCTCTCTCTTTCTTTAAAGTATAGTTGTTAACAAGTAGTTATTGCATGAACAAAGCGACCGCCAAAGCGCGTTAGTCGGTCCTGTTTCCTCGAGCAAAGAAAAAGGAGGCGACCTGTTTGTAGAAAGTAAGTGGAAAAACGAGTGAAAGCGACCGAAGGTATCCTGAACAACGGGAAAACTTGCGTAGTATTTCCTACGAAACCATTCGCGGGAGCGAGATCGAGAAAAGGCGTGGCACAGATCGCGTTTAATATCACAATAATATTCATTTATTATTAGATATATTCAGGCAGGAAGTGGCTGATCTCTTAAACAGGATCTATTTGAATATTGATCATCCTAGCTCAAGGTTGAAGAGAGAAATGTGTCTAATATAATATGACAATAATACAAAAAAATTATGTGGAATCTTGCAGTGTTAATGTTGATTAATTTTTAAATTAATTTCGGCAATTATAATGTAATATTTTTTCCCGAAAACGTTTAAGCTACTTCATAATTAGAACAACAACCGAAATTGAGCTTTTGTTCTTTCGGATGTGCAAAGAAACGCGTTGTCTGCGTTATTTCCTGCAGAACATGAACCGCCGATTATCGCGAAGACAATTTAGCATGAGAAGAGAAACCGACGATCATTCGGCGTTTAGGATAATAGTACCTTCGAGAGGAGTACCTGGGTATATTTACGGGCACAACACTTTTCGAAAGAACCCTCGCACGATCGATATTATTCGTCAGGATATATTATTCTCAGCTGCGGTTTCTTTTACCATTAGCTAGTCCGTCGATGTGGCTCGTATATATAGTATATTAGTAGTTAGTTGGCAATAAATCAATATACTCCGGCTTAAATTGACTCCAAGCTAGGTCTGTATTTCATTATCTAGAGCTGGAATTACTTGACCTTACAGAATCTTACTATAGAATACAATCTTCCCGATTTTTAAGATGTCTGCGAAATGCACTATTCGTGAATTTTCTCTATTTTATCCAATCATATCTTAGGAAAATGTTATGTTAAGAAAGATACGATATTATTGAAAATATTTCTCTCGTTATAATTCCAAGTTTATTTTCTTAATGGTCTATTTTTTCTTATGGGCAGTCTAAAAAAATAAATACAATGCGATTAAATTCTTCCCATCGTGCGTTTATTTTACAATTTATTGGCGATCAAGTCCAATGCCTGTTTACGTGTTTTTCGACTTAAAACCTGTTTATCCGTTTTGATTCCGCTTCGCGTAACAGGCGCGATTATAGCATCGATAGCGCGTGCGACTGCGTTGCGTAAGCTCGCGGGCGTTTTGCAATTGTAATTCACGGGCTTGCAGCTCGGGCACGTAGATTGGATATTTGTTCG